TCACTAACGTCATTGTGTCATTCCCAGCCTCTTTACTTTATCCAATCCTTATCTCCCATGGTCTATATGCTTCCCACATCAATTCTAGGTTTCTTATCACTTCTTTTCATGAATATTTTGTGACATGTGTTTAAGATAAGGATTACTTTAAAATAACTGTAATGCAATTGTTATACTTAAAAATTAACTGTTCAATATTATCAAGCACTTAGTTTTCTCTGATTGCTTCCAAAGATAACATTTGCCTGTAATTACTTTGTTCAGCTAAGGAGTCAAAATACACATTAAATGCTTCTAAAGTCGATCCTCATATGTGTCCCATTTTCTTCTTTTCTCTTTAAAAACTTTTTTTTTACTTTTGTTTATGTGCTATATGAGTCTTTACATGTATGTCTGGTGCCTGCAGAGGCCAGAAAAAGTTGTAAGATCTCCTGGAACTAGAGTTATAGGTGACTGTGAGTCACTTGACATGGGTGCTAGGAGCCAAGCTTGGGTCCTCTGGAAGAGCATCAAGCCCTCTTTACCACTGAGAACTCTCTCCACCTCCTGCTCATTCCTCTTTTCCTTTGGTTTTCTTCTAGTGAGGCAGGCGGCTTGACCCTTTAGGGTTCCCTGCCCCATGCTGAGTTTTTCTGTTTGTCTTTCTGTGATGTTCTTTGTCTCTTGAACTTTCTGAAAAATTCACAGAAAGGTCAGGAGGCCTTGCCAAGGATCATTCAATTTTTGTAAGAATATTTCATAGTATTTTATGTTTTCCTTAGCATGTTCTGAGGAAGCATAGAACTTATGGTCATTTACTATTTTCTAGTTTAATTTCTTCTGTAACTTCTAGGTAGTCTGCTCCGTCTATGCCTTACAAAATTTCCCGGTAATTTTTACCCCTAATGTTTTATTAACAGTTATTACTCAGGCCTTTTTTCTTTTTTTTTTTTTTTTGGTTTTTACGAGACAGGGTTTCTCTGTATTGTTTTGACTCAGGCCTTTTTTTCAATTTAACTAGTGATAGTTTAATTCTATTAACCCATCAAGTCATTTCAAAACACGCACACACACAAACACACACACACACACTCCAGTAAATAAGTACATAAACCTTTTACCAGTGAACTACTTGGTGATTCTGTGATATATTTCTATGGGAAAAAGCATGGTAAACACTTTGTTTGTGTCTTTTTGCTACCAGCTTCCTAAAATGACTAATGAGGTGTGTAAGAGTGTGCAAGTGTGTATGGCTTTGTGTGTTGGTGGTGGTGGTAGTGTGGGTTTTTTGATTATTTGCTTTTTGGGGTTTTTTTTTTTGGTGTATTTGAGGGAGAATGTTGCTTCAAACTCATGGAAACCTTCCTGCCCTGTCTTTCTGAGTACTTGGATTCCAGGCATGTGTCATCATTATATCTCATCTATTTTAGCATATTTAAATATCATTATAAACTCATGTGTTTTAACATATTCAATTCATTTCTTCATGGTGCATGCTAATCCTGCTCTATAGATATCATCCTTCAGACTTTAGGTAGCAATATGTAAACACAGACAGCAGAAAGGAAATCTCAGCGTGCTAACTGAAATCGTGAAAAATCTTAAACTAAATAAAGTAAAAACGGTCAGTTGGTAGAAATGTCATTAAGAAACAAAAGCAGTCAACAAGGGTTTGGATGTGACGGTTCAGCAAGTGCTGAGCTGGGGGAGGACTTGGAGTTCATCCTCAGCTTTGCCAGTGGTCATCAACAACAAACACTGAAAATTTAGAAGTCTAGAGAACACAGCTGAGAGCTGATCACACAGAGTGCCTCTCAGGATCCAAGGAGGTCTAATGAGTGAAGGCCAGGCCAGGCTGGGATTCAGAGAGGAAGGAGTGAATGATCCCAGGAGGGAAAGGGAGAGTAGGAGTCAGGAAGCTCAGCAGGGAGCCTGGAGGAGCAGCTTTTGAGTCCCCCACAGTGAACAAAGGTGAGTGAAAATAACCGGGCATCTCTACATGGACCAGATCTTTACAGTGTGTGCAGGAAGGTATACCCACTCTAGTTGCTTCGTGGTCCTCTCGGCCATGATTTCCTCTCAGGGATGTTCCCAGAACAAGAGAGGAGTAAAAAATGGGAGGAAGGTCTTAAGTTGAAGAATATAGTTTTTAGAGAAATTTTTTTCTCAAGGACATGAGAAAAAAAAAGTCTGTGGAGGTTTCCAGGGTCTACATTATCCCTGCAGATGGCCATCACTCCTGCAAACATTCCTATAGTCTTAAGCGGCTATCACAGTAAGTATTGCTTAACTATTATTATAAAGACATTTCCAACCATTCATTTTAAGGGAAGGTTTAATAAAAATAGAGGTTATAGAGTGAGAAAGAGCTTAAAGGTCATGTAGTTATAATTTTAAATGAAAATATTAAGTCAAAACTCTCATTCTATTAAAAAAAGTTGAGATTAAGATGAACAAATTCAACAGAGGCCACAAAGCTCTTCTGCCTCCTGGCAGAAGAATGAGTTTTAGTAATAAAATGCAGCAAGAAAAACAAACATAACTCATAGTCATTATTAACTTGCCTTGTAAGAGGCCTTTTCCATGTCTTGGGAAACTGGAGATTGTCTACCATACTTCCTTGTTGAACATGAATACCACATTCTGTAATCACTTCCCAGGCTAAATTTGTTCTCTCTCTCTCTCTCTCTCTCTCTCTCTCTCTCTCTCTCTCTCTCTCTCTCTCTCTCTCTCTCTCTCTCTCTCTATTTCTCTGTGTGTGTGTGTGTGTGTGTGTGTGTGTACAGGTGAATACACTAATGTAGAGACACCTTTGAAAGCCTTGGGTATTGCTTGTTACTCAGGAATGGTGCACATTTTGTTGTTTGTTTTAGATACAGTGTCTCCCTGGGCTGAAAGTCCCAACTTCATTATGCTTCCAGGTCGGCTTTAGCCCAAGACCAGCACTGTGATTACAAAAGAAAGTCACCATACTTGGCTTTTTGTTGTGGGGTTTTTGTGTGTGTGTTGTGGGGGGGCTAAACTCAGGTGCTCAAGATTGGAAGGCAAATACTTAAGACTGGGCTATTTCTCTACCCCATTTGTTCTTAAGGTAGGTTGACGATATAATTAGAAAATGTTGTGCAGGCAGTGGTGGGCTTACATGGACCAGATGATATGGCCTTGCATTGTGTGTTGGAAGTTAAAGTCATAAACATTGAATGTTCTGCTCAAACAGTGCCAAGATGCAAAATTGGAATGTCTCATTGTTCTTATTTTAATGTAAACAATAGTTTAAAGTGTCTCATGGCAATGATGTGCCTCAATAGCTAATAACTCTGAAGTCATTTTCATACATACAGAATTAGAATTGAGACAAGTAGCCCAGGCTGACCATTATGTAGACAAGGGTGATGAGCTTCTATTTCTCTCTATCTTCCACAAGCACACACCACCACTTGGGTTTATCCAGCCCTTTGACTCAAACTCAGGGCTTTGTGCATGCTAGGCATCATTCTACATTGAACTTCACCGCCAGCTGTATATTCATAGGAGATATGAGTGAGAAAACAGTAAAGGGATTGGGTCAATCAAGCTTGCCAACATTTAGCATGCCTCTGAAATCTTGAGTTATTATGTAACCACACAGCCCTTTCCCTTTTGAAACTGTTTGCTATTGGGAAAAATTGCTACTTTTTTGTCCTGGTTAAAGGTGGGGGCATGGAAAAATCTAACTGATCTGATTTAGATAGAGTTCCTGATTGTTTGAATGACCATCTCTCCTACTTTTGTGGAGGGAAGACAAATACACAGAAGGGTAGAATAAGGTGCTAATGGAGATGGTGGTTTGTGTGTGTGTGTGTGTGTGTGTGTCCTGAAATGTTGCTTTACCCAGAGATAAGGCTAATCATCCCAAAGAGAGAAACTGCTCCTTCATGACTCAGTGCTACAGTCATTTTTGTCCCCTTGCAGCACAGTTCCAAAAAAAAAAGTTAGACTTGCTATTCATGGCAAAAGTAGAACTGGCATTTAGATCATTATCAGAACAAATGCTCAATATACAAACTTTTGAACCATGAAACAAATAGCTCCCAGGTGGTCCATCCTAGAGGCAGCCAACTCTAGCATTCAGTGTGAAAGAAAAGGAATCCTTCCCACATAAGCTAGACTGTATCAGCATCATCTGTATTGTTTCCTTCTGCCCTCTTACCTTAGGGCTAGGCAATTCCCAGTTAGTAACTCTTATCGGGTATTTTTGGTGTGGCAATGTGTATGGTTTGAGGGTTGCATAAGGAAGAAAAGGGAGAAAATGTTTCCATTGCCCATATTACAGAGGTGGGATACAAGACTAGTGTAATCACTTTCTCCAATCTGGCTGAGCTTGCCGGTCCCTGGCCAACAATGCGTGTTGACTAATGCCCAGAACATGCACGTGAGTTCACTCCTCACAGGCTGGACTGCTACACTGTCAGCACAGTTCTTCAGGTGACCCACTGGGAAGAAGAAAACATCTCTGCGAAGCTGGGAGAGGACTCAGTAGGTAAAGTGCTCTGAGAAGCTGGGAGAGGGCTCAGTAGGTAAAGTGCTTGCCTTGTAAAACCTTATGTTAATAAAGTCAAGCATGGGGTGTGTACTTGTAGCCCCTGTTCTGTGCAAGTGGGGCTCACTAGCCAGCTGGTTAGCCTAACCCTAGGCCAGTGAGAGACTTTCATAAAACAAGGTGGAGAGAGCCTAAGGATTACATACAAAGTTGACCTCTGCCCTCTACACCCACATGTGTACACAAAGTACTCATGCCAGTACTAGACACCTATACACACACACACACACATATATATTTTAATCAGAGTTTCTTTACAACTTTAAATGACAGCTGTCTGTATAATTATGATATGATAAATCTTTTATGACACAGAAATAGATTCTAACAGAACAATATTTTACTGTGACAAACTGATGCCAACTGACTTATGGAATACTTATTATATATTATTGCTTTGAACAGTTACTTCTCCCTCCCCCCACCCCGGTCTTCCACACAGGAAAACAGATGCAACAAGGTGACTTGAGTTTGCAGAGAGACAATGCAGCACGCCTCAAATACAGCTCCATTTGATTGCATGCTTCATTTGCTTCCCCATATTTAAGGTGAGCCTTCCATACTTGGGTTTCTATTCCCCGACTCTCAAGCCTTTTTCTAATTGAGTGTGTGTGTTGGGGACGGTTGTACCATGGAAGGGAACTAGTATAGAGTGTCAGTGAAGTGGCCATCCGCTGTTCCTGATCCCTTAGGCTTATTGGCTCACCACGAGGGCTGACGTAGCCTTTGCCTTTGTCACTGCCATCACTTTAAAGGGAAAATAAACTGTCTCGTGGGGTGATACCAGAGCATATCCAGAAAGATCGGTTGCTGATTTTCAGAGGGATCTGGGTATTGGTAGATACCACTAGTTCCTATGAAATTACATAGCTATGCAACCTACTGCTACCTCTATCAGAATCAAATTGAGCTCCAAAGTTGCACAATGAAGACACCGAAACGTATTACTGCCAGCATTTTCTCCTTTTTCCTGCAGACTCTGAATATTTGTCTAAAAACCCAGCTGAAGGCAGGGGAGATGGATGGCCCTGCTGCCACAGACACCTGTTAGGAAGCCTGAAGACTTGAGTTTAAGCCCCAGAATGCACACAGAAAATCCACACACATACCATGGCACACACATGAAATAAATAAAGAAATGAACAATTTATTCTTAAAATCTGGTTAAATGTCAGCTGCACAGAGGACTTGTGAAGGCAGATCAGTTTCTGGAGTTCCTGTCCATGGTAGCTTGTGTCTTTCTGTTTCCTGGCTAGAAGATTTCCTTTATCCCATTATGAACAGTTTTCTCTTATTCCTACCATCTCTCATTTTCATCTGAAAGCAGGTTGCTGGTTGGTTCAGTGAAATTCATCAACCTCTGACTAAATCCAAATGAATTGCATACCTTAGGCATGTTTTAATGCAGGCTTCCAGAAGACCATGGCTTGACCCAAAACACCTTGTGTGTGTGTGTGTGTGTGTGTGTGTGTGTCTGTCTGTCTGTCTGTCTGTCTGTCTGTCTTCTCATCCCTCCCTTGGATGAAGAAATGTCATCTCTGAAAAGGAATACATTGGTCATACATCTTGAAGGATAAAATATTAAAATAAATAAAAATTAAAAACAAAAATGGTGCTCAGAAAGATGACTGTTAGGTATGATGTCAAATGTGGATCATTGAGCAGGTTAAGAGAAAAAAAACCTAAGAGTGGTAAATCTCCTGATTCAGACCTGTGCTTTAGTTAATTGTTACCACTTTAAAAAATATATGCTTTAGCACATCTATTGAAAACGTTCTTTTTATCCCTTCCTTTTGATGTCTTAACCTATAGCTGCAATACTCTTGATTTAGTAGATATAGATTAACACATTATATTCTTATGAGCAACCGCGGAAGCAGTAAAAACTGCTAGTCTTCTATTTCAACTGAAAGCATTCCTCGGTACAAGTTGTTAGAACATGTTCAGAGATGTCTATCACAGGAACACATAATAGGATAAGTTGACTGTAGGAGCAGAAGGCGGGAATTACTCACTCGGAGGTTGGTGGTGTAAAGCCAAGGGTAAGGCCTCCATACCAGGCTGACAACCATAAGATAAACTGGCATCCTGCCTCAGTCCGGGTGTGCACTTACTTCATAATGGACTCATGAACTTTCTACTGGCTTGGATAAGGAAGCCACAGAAACAGAAAAATTAATTTTTAAGCAAGACACTATTTATGAGGGAGATTTAAAGCTTCTCTATTCGGAGCTGGAGAGATAGCTCAGAGGTTAAGAGCACTGGTCTGCTCTTCCTGAGGACCTGGGTTCAATTCCCAGCACCCATGTGGCAGCTCACAACTGTGTGTAACTCTGGTCTCAGGGGATCTGACACCTTCTATACCAATGCAAATAAAATAAAATTAATAAATAGTTAAAAAAGCTTCTCTATTCATAGTATACTCCGTTGACATTCTTAATTCCACAACAGAGTCATCAGTGGTTAACTTAATTAGGTAAAATATGATCAAAGCAAGTAAGGACTCTCCATGGAACTTGATGAGCCTTCCTTGCTCCCCAATGATTGTAAAAATAGCCCCTTTACAGTCAATTTTTTTTCTAAACAACCATCTAATTTGTAGAGGGCAATGACAGCTGAGATAGTCAAGCTGCTACCTACAGGGCAAGTTTGTGTACTCTATGCTCTTAAGACAAGTCTTTTCCTAACTAACCTCTCATTGCTAGTTTACCTTTTCTCCCAGAATCCACAGTAAGCCCCAGGGCTGTGTAAAAAGGATGGTGGCCTGGAAGCAATCTTGCTTACCCAATGGAGGAAACCATCAGTCTACAGGTGGAGGAGTTTGGAAAAACTAAAATACCACTTTCCCTTTGGAATACATGTGGCAGAAATGAATAGTGCTAGAAGTGGCTACCCTTACAACTCCCAACCAATCTGGTACTTATAAAAACTAGGTTGAGATCGAGTTCTTGCAGGGTTACTAGTGGTTACAATGAGGAAAAGACCCAATCAGAAAGGACATAAGGAGAAGAGAAAATGAAACGAAGACACACAATGGTATTCTCTGTTACCACTTAGTGTTATCCAGTCTAAGATACAGATAAAGCTGGGAAGTTTTGCTGGTAGCATCAGCTGGTCTCAGCTCAGTGCTCATTATTTGTACAAGGATCCATGATTTTCTCCATAATATACATAAGCCCAATATAGAATATTTAAGGGTTTTTTTCTGGAGGTAGGGACTGCCATGTTAGGTCAACTTCAACCTTGGTTTAAAATATACAGCCCTGCTGGATTATTTCTGGTATTCTAGATTATGTCCTCATTTTCTTTTAATTCTCAGTAAGGAATAGATTCTAATATGCAGTGGCTCATCTCTCAGACCTCATTATTTTGTTCTCCCAGTGAACATCACAATGAAACGACTGACTAAGGACTTCTGAATACAAGTAAATATAGAATCTCTATGTAAATATGCCCGTCAAAGGAGGAAAGCAGAGGGAGACGCTCAGAGCGGCTGTTGATGCTTTCTTCTGTCTCAAGTGCCATTTTCTCTGTGCATCAAGACAACACATTGATTCTAGCACACTTCAATTCTCAATTTTCCATAAACCATAAAAACCTTAATGACTTTCCCAAAGCCCAAGTGAGAAACAATCAATTAATTTTCACAGTAGTTCAACTCCGTCAAAATCAGACCACTGTTTTAATAAGATTTCAGACACTTAGTTTCCACACACTAGCAGTTTAATGCCAAAAAAGTCTTTCTTTCACCGCTACATGCAAAGTTAAAATATAGACCAATTAAAGAGAGAGTTCAAGTATTTTAACCTTTATTATAGACACTAAAGTGCAGGCCACTTGAGAGGACACTTTTTTCCTAGGGTTCAACTTATTGCTGAGTCCACAGCCATTCTCACTGTTCCCAAATCTTCACAAAGCTCAGAAGATCAGCTCTTAGCTCCCCAACAGTAACCCATGAGCTGAGATTTGAGGACAAGAATATCGTCTTTTTATCCCCACACCTCAACATGCACACACACACACACACACACACACACACACACACACACACACCCTACACCTCCCCACACCCAACCACAAACACACACACATCCTACACCTCCCCACACCCTATAATCCCCCAGCCCCACAAACACACAGGCCTACACCTCCCCACACACAAACACAAACACACACATACCTCCCCCCCACACACACACAGAGGGAGAGACACAGACAGGGAGGGAGGAGAGAGAGGAAGAAAGGGAGTGAGAGGGAGAGAGAGAGAGAGAGAGAGAGAGAGAGAGAGAGAGAGAGAGAGAGAGAGAGAGATAACATCTTTACCTAAAATCCCCACCACCAATTCCATGTCTTTCAGATGTTTGTTCAAAGTAAAAAAAATGCCCAGAAGGGAACAGAAGATACAAACACCAGCATCCCTTTAACAGGGACCCACAGACCTTAGCCTGCCTTAGCCTGCATTGTGTCATGCTAATTGGTTTTCTTTAGAAAGGGGGGATTTTCCAGTGCAGCAAGTCCAGTTAAGGGCAGGTGGAGAGGAGGTGGTAAGGTCTGCATGATGAAATGACCCTGTGGTAGCCTGTGGTGGGGGTGGTGGATGGAAAAGAGGCAGGGGCGCCTTTGAATTGGAAAAGGCTACAGGCAGCTTCAAAGAGAATTTTATTTCGGGATGTTCTGAATATGACTAAGACCAAAACACAGGATAATTGGGATTGTGAACTGGGGTAAAAATAGAATGAAATTACAGGTAGATAAGTAGGATACTGTAAGCTTCCTTAAGTTGAATGTGGCCTGTACTTTGCTGAAGTAAAAATGTAGCTATGACTCTCGCTTGATAAAACTGACTTTGTGAAAACCCCACAAGGTTCAGGACCCGCTTAGAGATTTTGTTTCATTTCTGACTTGGAGTTTTTGCTTTGGCTTTTCAGGTGGGTGATAGAAAAGGGACTGATTAATAATTGTGAATGGGAGGGAGTGATCTTGAAAATTCTTCAATTTATTTATGATGTCTTTTCACAAGACTGGGTCTGTTCTGGTCCACAGGAGCAGCACTTTCTCCCAGGCCAACTTGCCATTGGTCCTGCTTTTCTGTTCCATTTCAAAGCAGCTATTGGCAATTACTTTTTCTAGTGCCTAGTCTACTGTTTCATACAATTTTGAATCACTGCATTATCTGCCTGTTAATCATTGATAGATCCTTGTTTCTGTGGCATAGGTCTTTTCTTGGCCCTCACAGAGCTGTCCACATAGGACAGAGCTCTGCCAGCTTCTCCATCAGGCCCAGGACAGCTTTGCTCCCTGAGAGCAGATCTCTAGTTCCTCCAGGAAGCTGACCTACCTCATGGTGTCTAGACTTGCTCTTGCCGTTCTGAAGTGCAAGCCGTTATGTTATACTGTCTTTATTCCCAGCCATATCTAGAGATCAGACGACTGCGTGGGTGGGAAAATGGAAAGGTTGCTCATCATTTGGGACATAAATAAAAATCAAGAGGCAACAGAGTCACCAAGTGCAAGAAGGCTAATCGTGTCATCAATCTTCGAAGTTATTTTCCATTTACATAACTAGTAGCAAGCATCAGTCGCAGTGCTTAAATAATGTAAATACAAACTCGGAGTGACTCTCACCATGGATCTTAATGAAACATTGTATATAATAAGTACGGAATAAAAAGGCTCATTGAACAGATTTGAAGACGTCAAAGAGAATATAAACAAATGCTCACACATGCATAATACATATGTGTCAAGCACTTTGCATTCCTTGCTGAGCCTGAATTTTGTGGGCTGTGAAAATAAATAAGCTTACAAATTCCCAAGGGATTAAAGAATAATCTTTTGTTACATTAGACAGAAAGCCATCTGAGGTTTGTATTCCTGGGGATTTCAGTAGATTGGCTGGTCAGGACCCCACAGCTAGTGTGGAAATAAACAGAGTTCAGTGATAAGTTAAAGGGGAAACATATTTGCCTTCACAAAATGCCTGGCTCACCCTCCTTGTGGAGATGTCCTGCACTCAGGATATAACCTATTTGCTTCATTCCAGATGTTCACTCACCGTTACTTTGAAGTTGGCAGTTGACCATTATTGGGTATTTTGACACAATTGGATAGGAAAATTATAGACGAGCACAATTTT